GGTCACTTCTGTCCCTGCTACCACTCCAACAAAATGGCTCCAAACAAAGACTCCTGAAAATGAGCCTTGTTCCTCCTGCTTACAGACAGATAGTGGAGAAGCAAGTGGAAGGGAATCAGCTGCAGAGTATACCTGTTACCTTTGTCAGGGCAAGGCCCCTGGAGCCCAGAGTCTTTCCATGGTGGCCTGTGGGCCAGCTGGGGCACGAGGGTGATGTGGGCCAGAGATCTTCCACCCTCATGCTCCTGTGTCTGTAGGGGGGTCCTGCGGGGAGCTGGTGGGTAGTCTGGGGAAAAGTACTTCTTCCTTTCTGGGTAGCTTTGATCCAGTCATTTTGTTCCTCTCAGCCTCCATTTCTAACAAATAGGCATTCTAATGTGTCTTCCCATGGCGTTTTGAGGATCCATTGGGATATTCTTTCAAACTTCTTTGAAAAGAGTAAAATAGTATGAGGAATAATAGGTTTGCTGCTATTCTTAGAAGGGGTTGGGGTCTAGGACAATCTGGAATGGAGTTTCAGATGTAGAGAAAATTACTGTTCTGCCCCCTGCCCATGTTTATATTAGATGAAACTGAATTAAAAAGAACATCAAAACAGGGAATTACTATCCAGAATATATAAATAATTCCGGTCACTCAGCAATAACAACAACAAAAAACTCACCCTGATTAAAAAGGGGCAAAGGGGTTGAATAGACATTTCTCCGAAGAATATATACAAATATCCAAATTAATACATGTAAAGATGTTCAGCATCACTAATCATTAGAGAAATGCAGACGAAAACCACAATGAGATGCCACTTCACACCCATTAGGATGGCTACTATCCAAAAAAAGCCAGAACATAACAGATGTTGGCAAGGATGTGGAGCTATTGCAAGCCATGTTCGTTGCTGATGGGAACGTAAAATGGCATAGCCACTGTGAAAGACGGTATAGTGATCCCTCAAAACATTAAACAGAATTTTCTTATGATCCAGGAACTTCACTTCTGGGTATGTACCCAAAAGAATTGAAAGCAGGGACTCTTAAGAGATATTTTTACACCCATGTTCATAGCAGTATTATTTATAATAGCCAAAAGGGAAAAACAACCCAAATGGCCATTGACAAATGAATGGAAAACAAAATGTGGATAGACATACAATGGAGTATCATTCAGCCTCAAGACGGAAATTCTGACATAGGCTTCAACATGAATGAACCTTGAGGACATTATGCTAAGTAAAATAAGCCAGTCACAAAAGGCTAAGGACTGTATGATTCCACTTATGTAAGGTACCTAGAATATTTAGATTCCTGGAGATAGAAAGTAGAATGGTGGCTGCCAGGGGCTGGGGAGGGGGAAATGGGGAATTATTATTTAATTGGCTCAGAGTTTCATTTTGGAAAGATGGAAAAAGTTCAAGAGATGGATGGTGGTGTTGGTTGCATAACAATGTGAATATACTTAATGCTACTGAACTGTACCCTTAAAAGTGGTTCAAATTGTAAATATTTTGTTACGTATATTTAACACAGTTTTTTAAATGATAATGTAAGAAAAATTGGTTAAAATGGTAGCTTTGTATCATGTATATGTTACCACAATTTAAAAAAAACATCAAAGACAGCTTTTAAGGGGAACAGAGACTTCTATCTGGCAGCATGTGGCACATTTAGTTTAGAGCAGCAGTTCAACCTCATTGGCTTAGGGCCTGCCACTTTATGGGACCCAGGGACTTATAAGCCCCCCAAGCCCTTTTACTGCCAGCTGGTGTAGCTACTACCTCTTCCTCTGAGTTACTGCCCAGGTGCCCAACAGATCTCCTCAGGGGTCAGGGCCAGAGTGATGGCCCCACTGGCCTTACTCTCAGTGGGGCTTCTCTACCCAAGATAGTAATTTTCCATTCTGGTCCTGCCTCAGCTTCTCAGCTAGGTTTGGACCTCCTTTCTTGGTTTGGGGGGGGCACAGCAGGTGTCCTGGGCCTGTGCCACCAGCAGCTGATCTCCCCGCCCTAGAGAGCTGGGCACCATGAGGAAATTTCCACAGCTTTCTCGGCTCCCTCTGTGTTATCAAGAGTGACTTATCCTCTGTTTTCTGTAGGTTTTCTTTTCCTATGCCCGCAGCATCGCCGTGAATGCAGCCCTGAGGCAGAAAGCTGAAAAGTTCCAAGCTCACTTGACCAAGAAGTTCCGGTGGGACTTTGAAGCGGAGCCTGAGGACTGTGCCCCAGTGGTGGTGGAGCTCCCCGAGGGTGTGGGGACTGGCTAACTGGGAATGCTCTCAGCCAGGGAAGACCCCTCCCACACAGCCGCAGTCCTGACTTCCCCACTCACCCCTGCTACTGGGACTTGCCGGGGCAGTGGCCCCACCTGTTTCTGCAGAGATGGAGCCAAAATTCCCTCCTTCACTACTAAATACATTCCTTCAGCGCCAAAGAGGCTGTGCCATCCTGAAGGCACATTCGTGGGCTCCCCATCCGCCTGGCCTTGGTGCTAACCTGACTGAGTTCCAGATGGACTCTCACAAAAGCTCTTGGGAGAACCTGCCTCAGCAGCAACCTACTTCCTTCTGAATGAGGAGAAATTGAGCCAAAAGCAAGAGAACTGATTGCTTATTCCATGGGATGGTTAGAAAACAAGAAACCCTGGACTGCCAGGGGGTCTGAGATGTCAGTTGGTGACTTTTAAGTTAAACAGGGCAGTAGGGAGATGAGCCAGAATTTCAGCCTGCCTCTCATCAAATGGGACTATATCACAGAAAACTTGGGCATGTGACCGCTTAGGAGCACCAGATTGTGGAGGGCGTAACACAGAAGACAGTTGGCTTGTAACTGACAAGTCATCAGCTTTTGCTTTTCCATCTAAGTTCTTTTCTCCTGTCCAGAGGTCCCAGAGGGTAATCTTCCGAGGATTGTTGTGGCCCCTGACCTCGGAGGCCTTGTGAGTGCCACGCCACTCCCATGTGTTCTGTCCTGAGACCTCAGACCTAGACGTGGGTTTTGGCAACCCTCCTGCATGGCCCCATTCCTCACCAGAGCCACCAGGACTGTTTCTGAGGACCTGGAGGTTCAACAAGAAAAAGGCTCTTGCTCTGGACAGGCTTCAGCCCTGCTGGAGTTCTGTGCCTTTATTCAGAGCTCTGGTGATGACCCGTCAGCCTAGATCTCTCCATTCCTGCTGTGGCGCTGTCAGCCACAAGAGTAATGATGCTCAGGTTTCCTGGGAGTCCTGAGGTCCTGCGCGCAGGCCCCCATCCTGGCTGAAAGCTGTTGTACTATAATCAGAGTCCCAGTGCTGTTTTCCAGGCTGTAGCTCACACCAAGTTTCTAAATGAGAATTCCTGCCTGTTAAGACTTTTGGTTCCACGTTTCCCTGGAGATGTTTTTCCAAGAGCGTAACATACATTAAAGTCTTTGAGTTGAGACTAAATCCCCTTGTGTGAGTCTCTTTTGCAGGTAATCTTCCCAGATCCCAGAGCAGCCAGGCCACTGCCATAGATACACATCTTCTCCTACTAAGCACCAGGACACACCCAACCTCTAGTCTCAGGACAAGGCACACAGCCAGCATCGCCTCCTGTTAACCAGTGGGGCCTCTGAGATGGGCCACCTGACAGGATTGAGGCCCCGTGGTCAGTATCATAACCAGAAGTTTCACCTTGTGTGAATTTGCTGATCTTTTTCTCCCCTAAAACCCCCTCATCAGAAGTACCTGGGGACTTGTTAAAAATGGGGATGCCGAAAGAATGAATTCCTGATGAACTCTGAAAACATGCTGAGTGAAAGAAGTCAGATGTAAAAGGACACATGTTATGATTCCATTCATTTGAATTGTCCAGAATAGACAAATCCATAGAGACAGATTAGCGGTTGTCAGGGGCTGGGGGATTGGGGACTGGGGAGTGATGCAAATGAGTACGGGTTTCTTTTTGGGGTGATGAAAGATTCTAGAATTAGGGGTGATGGTTGCACAGCCTTATGAATATTCTAAAAACCACTGAAAGTGTGTACACTTTGAAGTGGTAAATTTTATGGTAAATATGGTAAATTTTGTGGTCAATAATTTTTAAAACTACAGATTCACAAATCCTACCCTGCGGAGATTGAGAGGCCATGAATCTGGTCGTGGCCTGGGTTCTGTACCCTCAGTTTTGAATAACTACCTGGAAGTGACAGCACCTGGCCAGCATGGCTCAGCAGTTGAGCATTGACCCATGAACCAGTAGATTGGGGTTCGATTCCCGGTCAGGGCACATGCCCCTGTTGTGGGCTTGATCCTCAGTGGGGGGCGTGTAGGACGCAGCCGATCAATGACTCTCTCATCATTGATGTTTCTCTCTCTCCCTCTCCCATCCTCTCTCTGAAACCAATAAAGACATTTATTTAAAAAAAAAAAAGGAAGTGACAGCATTGCAATTTAGTACCCAGAGCTCCTTAGGGACAGAATTTGTCTCCCACTGGCATTGTCAGGGCAGCACCCAGAAGTTGGGTCATGTGACTTTGTTCTCCAAGCTTGTTGATCTTAGGTCCCTCCCCCCATCACCACGCACACAGGTGAAGGAAAAGTCACCATTTACTAAGTGGTCTGTTCTCTCCCTTCACTAATCCTCACCACAATGTGTGGTAAGTACGACTGTCCCATTCTGCTGATATGGAAACGGGCTCAGAGCTTGGTGACTTTCCCAGGGTCCCACAGCAGGTGAGGATTGAGGACAAGAGTCAAGCCCAGGCCACTGCATGCACTGCTGTGACTCCCTCCTTCCCTGCCCAGTCCCTGCTTCCCCAGGTCTAGCCTTGGCCCTGTTGACAGCCAGCTGTGTGACCTGTGGCAAGCCACTTAATTCTCTGGGCCTCAGTCTGCTCCTGTATAAAATAAGAGAGTTTGCTAGGGTTTGGGGTTTCTGACATAGATTCTCTAGGCTCCCTCAGGTAATTTAAAAGTGGACCCTTGTGTTATTTTAAATGTTTTCAAAAGGGAAACTACGTTTACATGGGATAATATGGTTGGGCTGTCAAAAAAAATGGGTCTCTTGATTGGGACTCAAGTGACATCAACCCTGTGTCTCCTGCTTGTCCCAGCTGGCAGTCCTCTATGTGTCTGTGATGAATAAAAAATGTGAAAACAAATTATTACTTAATACTTGCAGTATGTTTGAGAAGGCACAAACCTTTCAAAGTGAGAACCAGTGGTACTGCTGGTCTCTAGGCTCCCTCGCAGTCCTAACATCTCAAAGCGCAGCTATTGGCAGGACCTGGCCTGATTTTTAAATCCCCTCACATGCAGGCCTCCTGGGGTCTGGCTCCTATTTGCAAGGCTGCTTTATCCTATTAACAGAATCAGCAGCAGCAGCGACTCTCCAACCCTTTCTGCTGTCCCCGTGACAAACCCTCGCTGCTCAGAGCCCCGCTCTAATTTCTCACCACTTGAGCAGTAGAGGAGATCCCGCCGCTGATTGCCTCTTACCATCGGCCATTATTTCCCCAATGTCATCCCCTTGCAAATATTATTTAACGTTCTCAGGGCGCCGTGAGACATTGGTCTCTCCAACTAATCAGACTTTGGCTTGACTGTGGTCTCTCCAACTAATCAGACTTTGGCTTGACTGAAATGCCGCCCCCCACCGAGACAGGCTGGAAATACAGAGTGTATGCCGAGGACATGGCCGTGACTGGGTCCGTCTGCAGAGCTAAAGCGGAGGGGGGCTGGGAGGCGCCCCTGAGCCCCCTGCTGGTCCTGGGGTTCCCCACAGCCTCATCTCTCCAGCCCCTGCTGACCATGGCCCTTCCTCAGCTTAGAGTTCACTGCATCTGGCCCAGATAGGCTTTGTTTTCATTAAAACCCTCTAGGCCCTTCTATGTCCAGGGTATCTGAGGACTCATTCTTCCCCCAACTCTGGGCTCCGCTGCTGACTGGCCTCCCTGCCCAGAAGGTGGGATGAGAGCCAGAAATCATGTCCCCTGTTCCCTGCTGCAGGGGGAAGGTAGTGTCCAGCCCCTCCCCCACCCGCCAGGCTTCCTGTCCTGTGTCCTGGATCCACCACTCACCTCTAGTGAGGGTTCCTGAGGGTTGTTCGGCTGTCAGTTGAAATGCTTGGTGGGGGGAAAGGAGGAGCATGAGCTCCTCAGCGGAGGGCCCCGCTGTCAGATGGCCTGTAGGAGAGACTCTGCCTGTCTCTCTTCCCCAGGTCTCTTGTCTTCTTCCCTCTCCACATCGCCCCACTTTCCCTCTGTCGCCCTCTAAACATTTTTACCTGCCTCAAGTCTGGGCTCTACACTTTTAGGGAGCTGCTGACAGATGGTGTCACATCTTGAGAGGGAGCTTTCGCGTGAGAGGCAGTGGGAGAAAAATGCAGGACTTCACCAAAGAGCAGAGAGCTGGGGCAGAAGGAAGAGGGCTCTGCGTCCTTCAGTGCAGGGGGGACCCATGCGAGGGTAAGTTACAGGGAGGCAGAGGTCGGCTCCGTTCCTTCTTCATCCAACCAGTACCTGCTGCGTGCCTGCCCCTGTGAGCTTACATTCTGGGGGGTGGGCAGACAATAGCATAATAAGTAGATATAGAGTGTGTTAGTTACAGGAAATGCTCTGGGGGGGAGTGGAGCAGGATAAGGGAAACAGTCCTGTCAGGGTGAGGGGAGATGGTGCAGTTTAAATGGGGTGACATTTGAGCACAGGTTTGAAGGTGAACAAGTGGGCCGTGTGGGTATCTGTTCTAGGCAGAGTGAGCAGTGCCTGCAAGGTCCTGGGACGGGAGCGTGTTTGGTGTGTTGGAGGAACACTGGGGTTCAATAAGCTGAGAGAGGAAGAGGAAACCTGGGAGGTTACTGAGGGATCAGATTACCCAGAGCTTAGGGGCTGTTGTCAGAACATTGCATTTTACAGTGAAATGGGGACCCATTGTAGGGTTTTAAGCAGAAGCGTGACATGATCTGCCTTTAGGTTTTTATTTATTTTATTTATTTTTATTTTTTAGTTTTAACAGGATCACAGCTGCTGTGTGGGACAGGGACTGCACGGGGACGGGCGGGAGCAAGAGGGACCCATAGGAGACTAGTGCACTCGTCTAGGTGAGAGATGACAGTGACCAGAGCAATACAGGTGTGCAAGCTGGGGCCGTATTCATGATTCAGGTGAGGGATGGACTGGATGTCTTTCAAGGGTCCTTCTAGCCTGGTAACCCCCACTTATCTGAAATCTCAGAATCTGAACAGAATACGGACTCGTTGGGGTTCCCCCACCTCAGGAGTCCCCTCTCTACTGTACCATCCTGGGATCTATCAGCCCTTCCTGTTCCCAGATATCCATTTGGGTAGGTGGGGCAATGATGAAGGGTTGGGAGGGCTGTCACAAGAATTTGGGGTGTGGGGACTCAAGAGGGCTCTGTTGAGAAGGGTGGGTGAGGCAGAGGGTCTCACCATCAGCACCTGTGTGGGTGGTCTTGCTGCCAATGGCAATGAGGAAGGTCCCACTTAATGTTTCTAATTTGTGCTGGTCAAGAATCATTCATGCGCCCACTTCCCCCGTGGAACTTTTCATGGACTTGGAGGCAATTAACCCGAGGTAGCATGGAGTGCTGCCTCTCTTCTCACTGCTGAGCTTGTGGTCCTTCCTTCAGGAGGAGTGCCAGGTCTTCAGGGAAGGTCTTGTCATTCCTCGTCGTATAGACGAGGAAATGGAGGCTCAGAGACGCGAGGCACAGGCTAGCAGAGCCAGGCACCTGGTCCAGAGCCAGAATTCCAGCCCACTGTCCGAGCCCAGCACTGCCCTGCCAACATGCCGCTCGCCTTAGTAAGGGCACTTACATAATCTGTGATAATTACCAGTGGATCCGAGGCTGCTAGCTGACGACTGGCAGCATGGACCACATACAAGGGTGCTGGGCAGGCCCATCTGCCTCCTGGTTCGCAACCGCTTGCTAATGTTCCTTCCCAGACCCTGTGTGCTCCTATCTGGCCCAACGAGGCTCAGGGGAGTTGGCACCTGCGTGTGGGAGGAGGCGGAGAGGCATCTGGCACATTGGACCCCTGGGGCCACTGAAGGGAGGCCAGTCTGGGGTGCACCTGAGTGGAGTCCTCTCCCAGCCTGTCCTACCAGAGCTCCTGTGGAGTCTGCAAAGGCATTTCCTTTAGTGAAAGATGCTGCCAGATGTGAGGCCCCTGAGGGGCTGATTTAATGCATATCCTTTGCTCAGCTACCCCTACCCTGGGGATCAGTAAGCTCTGCTCACCCCAAGTCTAGTAGCCTGAAGGAATAGTTGGGATGTGGGGTTGGGGGTCTCCGTGGCGCATTTTATTTATTTTTATTTTATTTTTAAAATTTATCTTTATTGTTGAGAATATTACAGATGTCCCCTTTTTATCCCCACTGATCCTCTCCACCCCACATCCATCCCACCCCCAGGCTTTCCCCATACCAATGTCTGTGTCCATGGGT